CCTTATATAACTTTCAAATATCAAGAAAAGTCTTCAAAGTTCAATAAGTGCCGTTTTTATTGTTTGTATGAATTTCTACGACAGTAAAATTTTCCGGCTCCCAGGCCTCTAAGAAACAAAAATTTATGAATGTGATTTTTTTCTCTTATATTACTTTTAGATGATATGATTTGTCTTTAAAACTTAATTAAGAGTCGTTTTAATTTATTTGACATTAAAAATTTAAGATTGTTAGACCGCCGGGTCGCCAAGCCACCAACTTCACTAAAATTATTAAATAAAAAAGTGATTTTTTTTCTTTTTATATATCTTTTAATAACTTAAAATAACAAGAAAAGTCGTTTTTATTCTTTTAATAACATAACTACAAATTCAAAATTTAAGCCGTTGGCCGCCAACTTTACGCCGCCAGGCCGCTGGGCCGCTAGGCCGCCAACTTCACACATCTGGGTTTGTTTCTTATATAGAGTCAACTTAACAATATATGATGTAAATGTGTCACTATGATGCCGAACTTTCATTATACGATGTGCATTAATGAATATATTATGTGGAAACATCTTTATATAGATTCATAATAACGGTATATTATGTCGAGCTGTCTTTATATGATGTCAGTCTTTCATTATACGATGTGCAATTACGAATATATTATGTGGTACCATTCTTAAATACAGTCAAAACAACACTATAGTATGTAGAATCGTCTTTATATAGAGTCAACTTAACAATATATGATTTAAGAGTGTCCTCATATGACGTGCGCACGTGAAACCATTACCTGGCCACGCAAATATGTGTTACGAGAAGTACACGTAATAATTATCGTGTCCCCTTTATACGACCGTAGAAATAAGCATGCAAACAACAACAAAATCAACAGTATGTCGGTACTCACTCTTGGTCGCGTGATCTTAGTCCTCTTGTTTGTAGGTGTCATAAAAATTCTGACAACATCCTATTAATTAAAGTAAAGAAAAAAGAGCGTAAATTATAAGGCGAACATACTAGCAACAACATATCACAGAGTGATTCAACTGTATAAAATTTACATACCAGTTTAATATAATTATATGTTTTAGGAAGGAGAAATAATTGAATATATTTATTTAAGGGCACATACATTGCATATAAATATCCGGAAGAAAAGTGATACTTCGGAAGCATTAAAAACAGCAAAATACGTTTCTAATATTGATGTATTTGACTCTTGCATTTTACATAGGATGTTTCAGCATTTTCAAATGCGCAGGGAAATGCTTATAAATGTCTTATATTTGTATTTGACGTCATTTTATGAAATATGACATCATTTAGCCTAGTATAAGATATACAAGAGAAAGAATTAAACACTGGTTGTCAGTACGGACGGGACAATCTGACTCTGGGTAACTCCTTAACTGTTAATCGCTTTTAAAAACCATTTATCCCCTCAGACGTTTCCCCGGGGCTTTTTTCGTACACGTATTTGTTTTTCAAAAACATTTAATTTTAATCCCTTTATTTAATTTAAAAAATAGTGAGCTCACATATATATAACTTGCTATCATACTCAGTTTCATCTACAATTGCAGAAAAAAGGCCACACTGCATTTCTGGCATGCAAAATATCCATGGATCTCCAAGCACCATTACACTGTACACTACAGTGATACAATCATAATACAACTTAAGCATAAAGAGGACATTGGAAATATTTCATAATTCATTATGTGTGCGAAAATATTAGTTATTTAGTGACGAAAACACTTTTTCGTACGTAAAATATTAAAAAATGCATATTTGATGTGATAAAACAACATTTCACCTTCTCAAAACCCTGGTCTTATTTCATTTTATTTTCATTTAGAGAGGGATGGGCATTTTTGTTCAAATATGATAATCAACTTCCACAAGCACAAGTAATGCCCTGTACTGTACATAACTCAGAGACTTATTATAAAATAAAATGTTCTGTGAGGTTATGTAAATAAAAATAGTTTTTAATCTTGGAAAATTTCGCCTCGGTCAATATGTCATAATCATCATCACAATCATCATAATCAAATATTAATATCATCGCTTGATAATGATGTCCCATATGTGTTTTAAATGTACAGAACGGGGAACAAACTGCTTGATATAAATCAGTTTTGAACAGTTTAATATTACTTATATTTCACTTTATCAGTATCTGATGAAAATGTTTAACTTTGAGTCCCTTAATCAAATAAAGAACGAATACTTTACTACTATACTTTGGCAAAAATTTTTGCAATTTTCCGAAGAAATACTCTAAGTCATTTAGACAATGCGGCGAATAATTCACTTATTTTCCTTTTTTGGCCCCGCTTCCAGCCCTTTTTTTCATCAATGTTGAAAATCTACTTAGGAAGGGTTTTAAAACCATTTTAAATTTTAGATTTTCAGGGTTTTTATTGGGGCATTTATCACTTGTGTTTGGGTAAGGGAAAATTTTTATAACCTCAGACCCAGGGCCCATGAAACGGAAATTTCTTCATTTTTAAAAGTGTTGCTCCCGAGGATTTAAAGGCTTCTATAGGACATGTTAAAAAAAAAGCCACAATAAGATTTAAAAACTATTTAAAAAAACGAGGAAATAAAATTTAATAAAATTTTTTTATCATTCGTCCAAATTGTCAACGGAGCTATAAAGGGAGCGGTATCAAAATATAGAGGAAGTCAGAAAGCTAGCGGTATCACTATAGAGAGCACTCATGTCTTCTTTGCTACTTTTCGGAATTTGTTTCATATTACATTGCACTAGTTACGCTAGAGGTAGGTGGGGATGATATTTTTCCGAAATATTAATTGCATGTAGATATGTAGATTACATTCGTTGCAAGATGCGATGTATGTGGTATGCTTATCTTTGAAGGTCGCCTTGTTGAAGTGTTGACATAAATTTATATTCATTAAAATTGTCATAGCATATTTGCACAACGCACACTTAGACGTGTACATGCACTCGTTAAAGGCCCATTATGCCCCAAACATGTTTTTATTTATTTTTTTCTGAAAAGCTTTTCATTTTTTTTTTGTGTGCTATTGTAGATTCCAAAAATTACTCAATGGCCAATAACCTTAATCTTCGTTTTCTTCTGCTTCTTTTTTTTGGTAATTAGTCCCTTTATAGGGGTTTTGTATTTTGTATGGGGAATCAAAAACTATTTTTTAATTTTGCTCCCCTTTTTCGACAAAATTTTCACATTTAAAGGGGGAATTTTTTCCCTAAAAAACCCAATTCTTAGAGAATTAGACCATATTTAAATAATAAAACTCTTATTTGCCTTTTTAAAATGAGTAAACATTTATTTGTTTCTGAGTCATAATGTGCCTTTAAGTTAGTGAAAAATGGCGGGAATTAAAATACGAACTTTATGTAAAAAATAATTACATTCGGATAACTTTGACAGCTAGTGATTAGTTAAAAGGGTCGCTGTCCCGAAACCAAGTGCCCATTGCTGACAGTTGATGACTTAGTTATTTCAATGCATAAACGTCCATCTTAATTAAGTTTATCTATAGCTATAATAGTAAGCAATACATATATCAATATCTATTTTACGAAAGACCGGTGGGAACATTTCAACTTCATGATACCTTCATGAATACTTGATTTCAACTTCACGAACTCACGATTTCAGCTTCGCGAATTCACGATTTTGAGCAACTTCATGGATTCATGAATTCAACTTCGTGAATTTACGATTTAAACTTCACGAATTCACGATGTCAACTTCATGAAATCGTGAATTCATGGAGCTGAAAACGTGAATTCGTGAATTTCGTTTGTTGAAAATGGAAAATTGTGAATTCATGAAGATGCAATCAATAATTCATGAAGTTGAAATGGCCCTTCCGGTCTTTCGTACTCTTTACTTATTATTGCTGCTGTGGAAGCCGAACGTTCACAATGTCTACCTATTGAAATTAATTCGGATTTGGTTATAACTGTACATCAGCTGGTGTTTTTAACTGATTATGATTGTCAGAAATATTTTCAATCACAATTTTATCGAAATTTTATTTTCTTTTGGATGTCAAATATATCCATTTGTTATACAACATTATACAATTAAATGAGAAACACCACGTCAAAAACCACGTGGTAGAACAGTGGCGGTTTCAAGTCCGGTCTTCAGGGCTGCACCATGCTCAATACTTAACACTAGGGGAATTCTATTTGAAATACCCAGCAAACACTTACCTGTAAAACCATCCAAAAGGTACCATCAACAACACTAGAAAGTCAAGGAAATAACACCATTTTCAACCTCATATTTCAAAATTTTCTCAGTGTATTGGTAGGGACACCCCTCCCCGGGGCCCCCCCCAAAAAACAAAATTTTTTCCTTCATTCCATTTTATCTAAATTTTATGAAAATTTAGTATACAAAAAAAAGGGAAGGCAAAAGGTACATTGCCATTCATCTTTTTAAAACCCCATCAATAAAAATTAAAAACAAGATTTTTGGCCCAATCCCCAAACATCCCCCAATTTTCCCCCTTTTGCAGTATTTTAAAAATTTCCCCAAACCATTGCCCGGGCCCCCGGAAACCCCCCCCCCCCCCTCGGGAAAACCTTTTTCTGTATCCCCCCCGGGTTAAAAACTTTTTTCTCAAAATTTTGCCCGGGAAATTATTATGAAATGGTCTTCAACCACAGCATATTGATTCTTAGCCTTGGTTTTTGATGCTGGATAGCTCACCTAACATTGCATATGATTCTAGCCTTTAGATAGCTCATATGATTTTGCTAACTTGATGCAAATTTCACAAATATAAAGACAGGACCCTCGTTTCCAGTTCAAGAGTAAGTTGTTTATTCACAAACACAGAGGCAAATCTACATCTGAAGGTCTACAGTGATAACATTTTTAATTCACCAACGCCAGAATCTACATTTAATTCAGGGTCAACACTCACAAACTTATGTAGTGTAGAGGGTTAACAGTAAACTTGTATAGTGTCAGAACTACATGTAATGCACAAAACGAGGTTGTTATTTCACACATATAAGTTGAATTTTCAGTTGAAAGCCGACAGAAAGGTGATATGAAAAATCAGTAAGTGGCTGCAAAGAATCCATGTCAGATAAATCCGCCGCGAGATAATGATTTAAGCAAACAATTGTGTAACTAACTTATAAATCTCTCTAAAAACCAAAGTAATACAAGTTAATTTTGTAAGTTAGGGGTCTGCACCAAACTTTGATAATTGCTGGTAACATTATCAAAATAAGACGATTAGAATGCTTACGCATAGATAATACTAGTATTGAATGATTGTAAAAAAGTATACGCACGGTCGTGCAATAAAAAAATTTCGAAGTCGCAAAAGCGACACGGGTATGTGATAATTGTATTGGCATTTCAGCAGCACGCCTCCAGATTCATGCTAATTTTCATGAAAATTTTGAAAATGTATTTGAATGTGTAATATTGTGAAGTAACCAAAAGGAAGCAGTTAACACATTTTCAATGGCACTAACAAACCACGTTAATTACCAAAAAAGTGGTCAAAATATTCATAAATAACCTTTACTGCGTTAGTAACGCAGTAGAAATATAGTTGTAAATACTGAAAAATCAGTCATTAATCGTACATAATATGTAAACTACTACTTTAATCTTGAAACTATTTACTTTTCCTTACATCTTCGATCATTTTCCTCAAATTTGAATTTATTGAAATATTTTGACTCATCTGGAGGCTTGTAGCTTTAATGGTAAAACTGTAAATTCTTACAGAATGATGCAATTCACACATTTGAAAAGGAACAATCCACATCTGAAGACACTTATTTCTTTAGGAGGCTGGATAATGGGCAGCTTACCATTTATGACTCTTGTTGCGAACGAGGTTACAATGCGTGCGTTCGCAACGAACGCTGTTAAAGTAGGTCACATGTACATGTACATATATTGCCGAACTAATAATCCAGACAAAGGTATAACTATACTTGCTTAAAATGGATTTAGTGAGTGTGTTTGAAGACATTTTGTATTTTTATTACATTGTATTTCTTTCTTTTTTTTATTCAAATTTTAAAATATTTGTAACAAAGTATGGTGTGGATGGGTGGGCGTCTTTTGTGGCCGCCACACAAACAGTAAGCAGACAAAGACGCTTCACAACTGAAGTACATGCATATCGTGTACTATCAATTTATTGTCTAATAAGCGTTGACGTCACTGTTGAATGATTTTATGGGGATCACTTTTAAATGCCCAATGCAAAAATTACTAATTGGCCAATAACCTGGTCCATCTTTTTCTTCTGTTGCTTTTTGGCAATAAGTACAGTTATAGTGTTTTGGCCAAAATCATTGAAACGAAAAATGCCGATGATATGCTCAACAAGACTTGGTATTGATCACTCCTGTAAAGTTTGGATGAAATTGACCAGTAGTATCTAAATAGTAGTCCAGACAAGTTTCTGTGTAGCTGGCAACACAAAAACAAACACATTTTTTATTCAAGGGCTATAACTCGCCCAAAAATCGTTCAAGCGAAAAGTCTCTTCAGAAGGGATACATTCCAAGTCCCATTTAAGACCTATGAAGGACCCCTTCCGCTACATACAAATGTAAATCAATTAAATGAGAAATATTCTCTGTTTGTGTGTTCGTTTGTTTGTTTGTTTTTTGTTTGCTTTTTGGTTGTGTGTGTGTTTTTGTTTTTTTTTGTTTTTGTTTTTTGTTGTTGTTGTTCTTGTTTTTGTTGTTTAACTTTTTTACTTTTTTATCTTTTCCAGTTTTTACGTGCTCATGACTTTGATGGCATTGATATTGACTGGGAGTTTCCAAACGAGCGTGGTAGTGAAATTGAAGATAAGGCGAACTTTATAAAGTTATTAGAAGTACGTAACTATTGTAACGAGTGTTACAAATGTTCATGCATTAAAAACGCAAGATTGCTACATGCATTATACATTGATTTGATTTTACAGGAGCGGGACTCCAATGCCATTTCTCTACAAGCCATAGAAATTTAAATAAGAATGTCATTTAAAACGATTCTTAGCTACTGTAAACCTAGTTTGAATATTTTGCTTTTGTGTGAACATTCATTATTTTGATTAAATCTAACAATGCTAATACATCATTATACATGTACCTTTTGAAAAAGAAATGTTCATGTGAATATTTATTTCTTCATCTATTCATTGAGATCTTCTATATTCTTTAAAAAAATTTAGGGGCCATAATTATGTCAAATCCCTGTAAGAGTTATGGGCCTTTAACAGTAACCACCTATTATGCTTTCAAATAAATGTGTGGAGTTTCAGCCCATTATTTTTAGTAGTTTTTGAGACACCAAACTTGATTTAATACACGCGACTTGTCTTACATGGGGGTGTAAGACTAACACTTACACTATTATTACCCCTCAAGAAGTGTGTAACAATCGGGTAAATGCCTAGAGTTTTTGGAGACAGAATATGGACAAAAGTCTCTTACCAAGGATATCTAAGTTCACCTTTGGATATGGTTCAGTAAGGAATTCGTGATTTAGTAATGAGATTTTTGTCAGTGAACAGCTGGCATTACCCTATATGTATTGAAGATATGTGCACTATTCTAAGTGAAAACATTTAATAATTAATGTGAGATGGTGTTGCGATTAAAAACATTGAACAATTCAAATGACAAAATTATACTTTTTCTGTAAATTTGACACGAATTCAAGACGTAGGACAAAAAAATGCTTAAATATACTGTATCATAATGTAAACTAATAAAGACCATGTTTTTAAACATTTATTTATAAACTAATTATGAATAGCCTCCGTCTGTCAATCCGTCTGTCCGTCAATATGCCCGTCCATAACACTTTCATGTCCTCTCCATAACTTTAAAACCGCTGAAATTAATTATGTGACGATGTGCAGAGCGCAATGATTGGAATGCTATCCCCCAAGGCCAAGGTCACACTTAATTAAAGGTCAAGTGTTAAAAGTGTACATTTCGTGTTCTGTCCATAACTTTTAAACCGCTAAATGTTTTGAAATAACTTGGCACAAGTGATCACCATTATGAGACGATGTGCAGAGCGCAATAATTGGATTGATTCCCCCAAAGTCAAGGTCACTCTTCAAGGTCAAGTACTAAAAATCTACAATTCGTGTCGGGTCCATAACTTTTAAACCGCTAAAATATTTTGAAATTACTTGGCACAAGTGATCACCATTGTGAGACGATATGCAGAGTGAAATAATTGGGCTGCTACCACTATGTCAAGACCACGTGTTAAAAAGTCTACCTTTCGTGTCCTCTTCATAACTTTAAACTGCAGAAAAAAAAAATAACTTGGCAAAAATGATCACCATTATGACATGATTGCAGAACCCGACACCCAGATTGCAACCCCTAAGGTCAAGGTTAAAATCTTTCCATAACTTTTTGACTTTATGTAAGATTTTTAATAACTTGGAACAAATAGTTACTATCATGAGACTATATGCTTATAAAATACATGGCACAACATCAAGGTCATGGTCTGTTAAAGGTCAAGAAGTACACATTTCATATCTGCTGTGGGAGGGGATTTAGCTGTCCTTCAGACTACCTTGTTTATCTTGTATCGTATAATGATATTATTATTATTAGATATTGCACACTGCATTTGTAAATGAACCAAATCGGGGGAACAAAGAGCGATTATTATTAACAGCGGCAGTAGCACCAACGGAGGAAAGGATAATTCGGTCCTACAACGTGCAAGGCCTAATAAAGTAAGTATAATAGGAACATTTTCGTTGACTTGTAAATAAAAGTCTTGCGACGCACTTAGCCTTTATTGATACCTTGATTTGATTTAGGCACAAGCGATCATCCGAGTCTTAACATAATTTTGGATATATATAACATTTATTATGCAAATGCCATGGGAAATGCCTAATAATTATTTTTATACATGTATCAGGTTGGTAATAGTGATAAAATAGTAAAGTCCCGCCATTATAACGGACTATATTCTCAATTTTACTATCAACCTTTTAGTTCTACAAATCGATCTCATACTTTGGCATTTTTATTAGTCTCGTCTCAAGCTCTAATATCTACCATTTTTATTTCATTTTCAGTTACGAATAAATTAGATAGCGAATAGGTACTACAATTACGTAGTAACAAAATTGTAAATGTTGCAGTTCATGGACAGTGTTATTTATGAAATGTGCAAACATCCGTCTGCGCTTCTCAGCACGGTCAAACAGAATTTTACATTTAACATTTTATGGTAAAATTTTGACTTTGGAGACATTCGCAGATGTGTTACGCATATGGCGGTCCTCATGGAACCTTTAATGACACTTTAGTATCATTCCAGGAAAAGCGGGGTATGATCCCCATTAAAAGAATATGTATGCCCTGTTTGGTTTAAAGGCGGATGCTGCAGTAACATAAACACAAAGAATTCATTGACAAAATTATTATACAGAACTGATGTGTAAGCGGAGATGACGTTCCTTTGAATATTTCAGATAAAAGAATATAATTACAGATTGGTTTCGTTTAGCTCTTTGTCGTTTGCTTTACAAAAGGTATTTAAAAATCCAAAATGCGTAAATGACTTATAATATATAAGTACTCGGTTATTTATTGAATTTTATGTTTATATTTAGGTACTTGGATTTGATGGGACTTATAACCTACGATTACCACGGTGAATGGGAAAATAGCGTTAATGTTCACAATGCTTTATATAGTACGACGGATGAAAGCGTGGTAAGTGCCTTTAGGTTGAAACTTATTCATAATGTAATGGCTTTCCATATAACTTTAAGGAAATAAACCTCATAAACGTTTATGTTTCGACATATTGCCTTAAGTTTGTCGGGTCTCCTTTCACCCTGCCACCACTAGAAATGTGTAGACGACTGAAAATATTTTTTTGCAACAATACTGAGATATCAGTCTTTAAAAAAGTTGTTTTGACTCCAAAAAGTTATTTTTACTGGTTAGAAAATTATATTTTATGGACTGCGTGACAGAATGATCTCTGTACGAAATGTAGACCCCGTGTTTTTAAGTTTTCGTACATTTATCAAGGTTATTCAGAAAATGTCTGTAATAAAGTTTTGTTGCAATTTTTATTTTTAATCTGACAACATATTTGGTAACATTCAGCCCAAAGTCATTTTAAAATTGATCAGTACATTATTAGTTAATGATTTTTTTATTGTTACAGGACGGTTCCTTGAAGTATTGGCTTAGTCAAGGGGTACCTAAGAATAAAGTACTTGTTGGAATCCCAACTTACGGTCGCAAGTTTCTATTAAATGATTCAACAAATGGAACAATTGGGGCTTCAAGCAACGGAGGCGGAGATATCTCATATGGGGAAGTAAGGAATGTCTTTATGTATATCAAATTATATTAAAACTTGGCTTCTCTGAAATAATACTGCTTTGACATACAAACAGTCTATTGCTAGTTTAAAGATTGTTTACATGTTAATATCAAAACCAAGTACATGTAATACTATGGTGGCTGACTTCTACCATTACGTGTCTTTGCTCACGAAGACACGATGATATGCTCAATAATCGTGTCTTCGCCGCGTCGACACGGCGAAATAACGATATTTTAATAAGCGAAGACACGAGATCTCTTTCTGTAGAATTATCGCCTTTGACTGCGAAGACACGAAATGGCAGAAATCAGCCACCATATTATACAGTCTTGTCAGAAACTGCAATAATGAGCAACATGGTCAGACATTCATTCTTCTGGTTGCCGAAATAGTCAAGCATGTATAATAATAACTGATCGCGGAGAAGTTATTTAACTTGTTATAATACTAGTATATAGTACTTCTGATTATGAAATAACTTTGGACGTCTGACGTCATCTTCTATTCAAAGGATCTTACACCGGCAACCGGTACAGACCGGTAATATATAGATCGAGGGTAACTGTTTCTGGCGAAAAACGAGGCTCTGTTGAGATTCCCCCGAGAGCTAGATATTCCCGTCTGTGACGACAACCTGTATTTGATTCTTTTTCTTGCATACTATATATTAATCATATTTTCGGGGGGAAAAATACGTCAACTTAATCTTTTATGCAGCTCTTTTTTATAGTAGACCTCATTCTGTTTTCAGATCTGCAAAATGATCAAGACGCATCAAATTACCCCGGTAACTCTACAGACGGAGAAAGTTCCATATTTCCATCATAAAAATCAGTGGATTACGTATGAGGACGTCACCAGTATTACTGAGAAGGTAACATTGTTTCGCCCAATATGACTAAGCTTAATTAAAGGGACTGCACTGAGACTCTATGGACAAGAAATAATTTTTCGAGATAAATGTTCCATGTGATGTACGTCTACACCATTAACATTTGTAAATAATTTCAGATCATTCGCTGACTCCGTTTTTTCCAAAATTACTATTCTGGTTGTTAAAAATGAACCTAAATTGAAAAGCGTTGCTAAGAATAGCACAAAAAACGATTTTCAACTTATTTCTTTGTATTTTAATATCTTTCTGTTTTAGGAGGTAAAGCTTATCTTAGTAAGAAATGTGACGCCACATGGTGTTATTTCGGTCTTTCATCTTGGAAATGAATGTCACCGGGTCAATATTTCTTGCAAAATTTCTCAAGGGCGAGTAATCTATACAGAAAAGAAAACGTAATGTTCTAGTTATCTCCCCTGGCCTCAATCGATTCGGATATGGGGTGTTATTTTTTACATGTTGGTTCGGACAGGGGGTTTTATTTTAGTTCAATGCACTTTATCTCTGAGAGACATGAGTTATTTTCATAATGTTACATTTATATCATTTGAATATGTTACATATAGTGAAAACCGTACATAATGATAACTTTAAATTTGATCCATTGCATGTTCATATACAAACTATTTTAACATTTCTAACCCATGAATATGTTTGTTTTATGAATAGGCTGGGTATATTCGGTCACAGGGTGTGGCTGGTGCTATGGTGTGGGCAATTAATTTGGACGATTACGCAGGCGTTTGTGGCTCAGGCACCTTCCCTTTGTTAAAAGCGCTTAGGAAAAGACTTTCCACTGATGCTATTGTTGGATGAGATTTATAACGCTTGATGCCATTTGAAGACTTGAAATAAAACAACTTGATTACATTACAAGACTTAAATTGTTTTTTTATTCTAAATAATTGATTATTTGCCTACATAACAGGATGTTTAATACATGTAGGTTATGGATATGTCTTGATGCAGTGTCACTTCGTAAAAGATTTAAAAATGCTCTGTCGAAGCCCAGTTTTCACACATTAGAATTTGACAAACGTGTGAAAATTTCATACGAATTCCTCAAACACTTGTGGCTATTATCTACGAATATGTTCAAGATTTGAAAATATGATTTCGTCCCTTTACCTCTCAAAAAGAAGAACGATTATTTTTTCATGCAGAAAAGCACAACATAACTCGTGCTCCGCGTGACGGAGCATTATACGCCCGAAGATTGTGCTACGATAGAATATTATAGGACTAAATTAAAAAGTAAAAGAAAAATAATCAGAAAAAGTTATTGATCGAATAATAATTGAACACAAGTGTCCGTGTGACCTTGACCTTTGATTTAATGGCAACATGGTCAATGTCCTCAAGCCTTTTCATTCCAAGGAGAAGAATTCTAATAAGACCTAGTCTTTTCGTTCTAATCCTCTTCTTAGAATATTGTCAAATTTTGTATTTGTATATATTTCAAATGTTATCATGTAAATATTCTGAGAATAAATATGTTTAAACTAAGCTTATTCCTTGCTCACAGTGATTTTTCATTAATTGTCACTTGGCCTTTGACTTAGTAACTCGATAATCCACAGAGGCCATCTGATTGTTGAATTTACATTTCAAATTTCCAAATGGTATTTGTACAGTAGCCTACATTTGGATTCAGAGTTCAATTCGAAGTTTCTTTGAAAATTGCATAAAACACATTTTCCGTCAAAATAATCTCACTTGGACCATGACTCACGGCATGTCAAAGGTCCAAATTTTTAAAAAGCGAAATGCCATAATGTGCTTGAAATGCCATTACTTAACATGGCATCCGGGCAACCAGGCTATAAATGTCTTAGAGGCCACATCCAAAACCAATGGAAACAAAATTTACAGGAGAAAGCTGCAAAGTTAGTTTTATGAAGTTTTTCCCGCCAAAATCTTAAATACAATTCGACGGTAGATCCGAGGGAAGCAGAAGATGATATACTCTTTTTCACATTACTAAATTTATTATAAGCAATGTAACGCATTATGTCAAATGTTATGAACCACCCTTCAAACTACATTTGTATGTGTGTGTTCTTCATTCATTTTCAACTTATTGCATGCTTTGCTTTTCCTCATTGCTGAAATATTGTTTGTTTTTTTTGTTTTTTTTTAATTATTATTATTAAATGTGTATTAGTACCGTAAAATCATTCATAAAAATGTCCGCTTCCTAAGAAGCTTATATATTCTTATTATAAATAGGTAAAGAGCGACAACTCTGTTTCGCTGATAATTTTGCTTAGAGTTATTCCATTAAAACGTAAGATTTATTAAATCTTCATCCTATTACAATTGCAGATTTCCGATGGACGGAGTGTTTAAGTTTTAATCAAACATTGTACTGCTTCAACGGGAATTGGGTTTCGAGTAAGGGATTTGGATGTCTTTCATGTGAAGTGGAATATTCCGTAGCTGACGGAACGTCGGTGGTTCTACTCAGGTGTCCGTTCGTGCCTGAAAAAATGCACGGAGGGGCACCTGAGGTCTTCCTCCACCAGTAAAGCTGGAACGTCGCCAAATGACCTATACTGTGTCGCTGTGACATAAAACCCAAGTCAAACAAACAAACAATTGCTATGATCGTAATTTCAAGATTTTTATCAAACAACTCTACTGGCAATATACGAGTTGGGCTTAATATACATGTATATACGGAAGTTATTCATTACACGTTCGGCTCGTAAAAATTTGGTATTTCGTCCCGCGAAGTGTTATATTTAGATAAAAAAATAATCATATAGCGACAGCGTGGTTGAATTAAAATTTAAGAGTATCTGCATTGGTGACTAGTAACTTTTGACTTTTTGTGATCATAGTGGGGTTTGAAAATCAATTCTTAAAGCTCGGTCTCACTAACTCCCGGCAGAGCCCAGGACCACCCCGTGTTAGTTACTGGGATGATCTGGGACGATCTGGGATGAAATTAGGACCTTTTCAGGATGTTGGAATAATGTACAACTGTTCAAACACTCGTTAATCAAAATCTACCTATTTCTTTCCTTCACTCACATCCACTCCTCCTGATTACATTTTTCACTTCAAGAGTAAAGGTAAAGATATACAATACATGGACAAACAATGTATAAGAAACTGAATTTAAAAGATTCAAGATTCTCAAAAGCTGTGGTTAAAACGGACTACCTTAAATCTGAAATAAGAAGTAATTTCTTTAACCAGCTCTTATGTGGTTCTCTTCAGAGAAATGTTGCAGAATTTAAAAGCAGCTGAAGATTTATTAAAAAAATGGATATATATTTTACTTAGAGAGTGGTGCCTTTAAGTACCATGTTTTTTAATATTTTTTTATAATGAAACAATGAAAATAATGTTGTATCTTTACATAAACATAATAACATTTGTTTATCGAAGTTTATGTTGGTGATCAAAGAAAATAATACTTAGACACTGCCATGCTATTACATGGCGTTACGCATGCAAGTTCGGAATACCGCGATACCGACGGGGACACGGTACCTGCGGGGAGTAATCTATAACGCAAAAAGAAATACAAATAGAATTTACTTCCCTCGAGTTTAGTATGTAAACACTTATATCATAAGCTTACTCTTGATTAATTATTATTTATATTCTTAGCATTCTTATTATAGCTTTACACGGAAAGAAAAACACTTATATTTTTTAGCTTACTCTGTATTAATTATTATTTATATACTTAGCATCTTAAGTATTTACACGGAAAGTAAACAACAACAACATCTTCAAACTTTTTATATTATCTCAGGAAGTTTAATTACGCGTTATTGTCCTACTCAAACTTTTACTTCCTTTGTTCTTCCAGGAATAATTGAATAACTTAGTACAAAGTCGAAGATTAGTTTAACCAGGATGTTACTGTTTGTTTACAAATAACTATCATAACGTAATCATTTCTTAGTATTTGTGTATAAATAAAACAGAACTTTGTTTTAAGTATACTATAACTTCACAGGATGTAAACAAGAAAAAAAACGCCGGAAATTTTCTTTTTAATTGTTAGTCAACAAGATAACATTTGTCATTTAGTCAGATATCCCATCAAGTATATCCTGTTTTCTCAATTACATAATTTCAATTAATTATTCGGGCATTAACGTGCTATTTTTTATGGGCTCGGCCAGCGTCCATTTTGTGAACTGTCCATTATCCATTTTAGGGATATCAAGAAGTTAATTTCAAAGTTGGTCAGCGTACATTGTAGAGCTTGGTACGTCAGGCTGCAGGCTAGACTGGTGGATCGTGGTGGCAAAGGCTAAACACTTCCGGTTACAGCAGGTTTAATGTTAAGTCACCTTAGTGCAGTAACGGGTTAACTCCCATTAAATTATATAAGGAGTTAAGCCGTTACTGCACAAGAGAACAGTGACAAAATGCCAATATGGATCATTTTGTTGTGTTAACAATAGGTACAAAAAAACATTAAGGAATACTTTCAAAAATCAACCTAGCTAGCTTGCTAAACAACACAAAAAAAGAAATACTGTAAAAATTTAATGCAAAAATGCGAAAAAGGTAAAATCTAGTAAATGAAATAGGAACAAAATCGATGATAACTAATACCTCTACATGCCAGCTGACCATTCACGGACTTTGTGTATGTATGTATAACGTAGCCTTCACTATTTTATAACCTTAGTATTTATTATTTTGATATAGGAAATTCAGAAAAAGAACAGTTACATGTATCGAGTTTAAACAGGTTAAAAAAACTAACCAAATGCGTGTTTCACAGTAAGAAAAGCAGTTCTGGCAGATGGGGTTTACTAATGACAAACAAACAAACAGGGCATAACTATCAAATTGAAACAACGTTTTTTTTTTCCCTGAGAACAGTGTAAATATTTCCTCTAACAGAATTAGATTTTATCTCTGTTTCTCTACACAGCCTCTCACACTACCCGACTTACTGAGTGTTTGTAAACATACGGAATAGTACATTTTATATAGAAATTTGTTGCTTTTGGAACTTTATGTAGGAAGTTAACGTTTAAAAAGCATAGCAGTTGAGTTAAAGATATACATTAGAAAATTTTTGGCTTTGGAACTTTATTTAAAAGGCGTAGCACTTGAGTTTAAAAGTTTTAATTTTGAAAATGGCGGGATACAGTTTTGAAACTAAAATTATTGCTCCATTCACACCGGTGGATTATGTGCTTTTCGGACTTATGTTGTCAGTTTCGGCGTTTATTGGAATATTTTATGCTGTTAAAGACAGAAATCGTAATAATACGAAAGAGTTTCTTTTAGCCGGCGGGAAAATGAATCCCATCCCGGTCGCGCTGTCGATTCTTGCAAGTTTTATGTCGGCAATTACTTTATTAGGAACGCCGGCGGAAATGTACAATTTTACGACAATGTATTGGTATATAGGTCTCGGGTACCTTCTGGTGGTTGCGGTTGCGGCTCATCTGTTTATACCGGTATTCTACCGGCTGAGGGTTACCAGCGCTTATGAGGTACGTATAAATAATACAATGATTTTTGTTCTTTCCATTCAAAATATCTTTTATTTCTTATTAAACCATATGGCACATCACATTTTAGGTGTATGAATACAAGATTTGAATGCTGCGAAGAAAACGCATTGAAAGTAATATTCTCTTGATAAAGATTTCTCGAGAGTCAGGAAAGTTCAGTAAGTTATGTTACATGTACAATGACCTACATAAATTCCTGGCATCTGTTTCTATTTTAAGGTAGGCGGACTTTTCTTGGGGTGGTTTTTGTCGAGTATAAATAAACAAGTGTGTGAATTTGGAATACGAATACTCTATTTTAAACACATGCTCCAAATTATTGTTTATGGAGTATATTCATGGAAGGTGGTTTATATAATGAATTGGTCCTTTAATAGAAAATTTGTTTACAAATAATAATAATGTTAATAGTATTTGATATCAAATAAGACAGTTTACCATGAAATAAATTTTATATACTTGATTTGATATGACTTATCTATATACATAGCAGACAATAAATAGATATAGAACAAAATATTATTATTCAGCATATTAATACTCATACTATACCACTTAATCAACAGTTTTGTTTCAAGAAATATATTATGAAAATATCCAAATGATTTCCATTTTGTTTAATGTATTTGAAATGCTAATGGAAAAACCCGCCTCCGTTGTCGAGGGATTAGAGTCGATGACTTCTAATCCAGTTACCTCTCTGGTGTGGGTTCGATCCCCGGAAGATGCTTTGGTAGTTTAGCACGGAGGAAGGTAGTCTAGTACTGTAACTCTCCAGGATCGATGGTTAGGAAACTACCCGCCTATATGACTGAAATACTGTTGGAAAAAGGCGTAAAATCAAACAAACAAACAAAAGCTAATGGAAAATATTCTTATGGTTGAACAATGGGGATTAAGTGATTTCAACTTTATGTGATATTTTCATAATATCACTTATTAACGTATCACAATAAAGGTTACGATTACAATTACATTAAAAGTTACTTTAGTCTAGGAGCATGCATCAAATTGTTATCAAAATGTTACCGGAAGTTTGTGCAATTCAATCAATTGCACAAATGCAACAACAAACTCCTAGGCCACTGATAAAACACGAAAAACCCGTGCTCTATCAACAGAAGTTAGAATTTATTGACTATTTAAAAAGTGCTACGTGTTGATATAAAATGAATATAGAAACTATTGAACGGCTAGTGTGTCTCTTATATGAAACGGCTGTCATATTTTGTACAGAACAAAACAAATTCAATGTTATAGAAATGTAAATGAAGAAATTTCCAATCACTATGTATATGTTAGTGTTCATCCGTGCTGTTCTACAGAAATTAGAAACTTCGACGGGAGCGATAGCGACAGGAGAATGTTTCTAATTTCTGTAGAACAGCTAAGGATGAACACTAACATATTTAGTGTCAAGCTTTATTTGGCTCTTGATTACGTCACTACGCGGTACTATGAAGCACTATGAAAAATAGAAGGCGACTATGAACGGATTTCAATATAGTATCGACTTTTTTTCTTCTATGAAAATTAACACACATAATTTTTAAGAAATACAGAGTTTTCATTGGATGACAAATAAAGCTGGACACTAAAAATTGTTTTTATTTAGGACAATCTTATGTTTTACACACAATACGTTACGGGTGATATCTTGTTCTTTTTATTTTTGATAAGGTAGATGCTGCTTCTGATAAGACTGATAATTCTCTCTTATGAGTTTGTTTATTGTAACGCTCTTGTTTTTTTTCTTTTTCTGATCAAATATTATTTGTATAATAGGCAGCTTTAAAGATTCTTGGGTTTCATTAGCAGCAAATCCAAAACTGAATTTATTTTATTCATTTTATGCAATTCAAAACTTTTTCGTGTTTTTAAACGTTACATTGTTCCAAATCAGTCCATTTGATAAATCAAGCGTAGTTAGCGTTTATCATTCTTCGGAACGCTTGATTTTAATGTTAGTTTAACGACCTACTTATAATTTTAATCAAGTGAAAATGTAGGAGGAACACAATATTTCATCAATTTTTCCATTATGTACGTAATTAAGTGGTACTTAGCTTATCAAGAGCATTACCTTATTGTTATTCATGAGTCACGAATAAGGTCAAATTTACAAAAACAATTAAACTCTTATTATGTTGTTTGACGTATTTCATGACGATTATTTGTTGCTGTTTTTTGGTTCTTCATCACTATTTTCACACACAATGGGATAATTCCGAACAGTGCCACGTAACATACAGGATAAATGGCTGACATTTAGCAGACACAGTTGTCTAGTGTTGACACCGTCTGACTACAAACTAAAGGATTACAAGTTCGAGCAACCACTGCTCCGATTGAAATGACGAATTATCTTTTTAATAAAATTTTAGACAAAAGTCCCACGTAATAGTTCTTTACATACATGTATTCAACGCTAAATACCGATGGTTTTTGCAAAATCGTTTGAATAAATCTCTGTCATACTTTTTTCTCAACAACTAAAATAAAAAATAACTTGTACATGTACTTGGCTGATGGTGTCGCCCATTGGGAAAAAAAAGAATATAAATAAGACTGAGTAAATTTTGTGAAAATAAATAAATGTAATTCATATGTGGACTACATATGACACCTCTATTTTAAAATGGGAATACCGCATACACCTGTTTAATATTAAATCATTCTGTATGGTGCAAACATTTTGCGGATATCTGGTTGTGACGTAGAAAGCGTTGGTGTTGGGTGCAGTTTAAATAACAGACGACATTTTAAACTGGTGTTGTTCTGCACTACACTTCTCTACCAGGAAGTGTTATTCAAGGATTATAATACTTGAGCCGCGTCACGACAAAACCAACATTATGCGTTTGCGACCAGCATGGATCCAGACCAGCCTGCGCATCCGCGAAGTCTGATCAGGATCCATGCTGTTCGTTATCAGTTTCTCTACTTGTAATAGGGTTTGTAAGCGAACAGCTTGGATCCTGATCAGACTGCGCGGATGCGCAGGCTGGTCTGGATCCATGCTGGTCGCAAACGCATTGCGTTGGTTTTGTCATGACGCGACTCAAATATATACGTATATCAAAGTATATGCATCATTTTACGTATGAGTTGGTTAATTTGGTAATGTTTTGTGGTTTAAAGTGCATGACGTCATTCAATATTTGCATAAGGACAGGACTATACATTGTAGAAGCTGTAAAACATGTTGTTTAAGAACTAAATAAAACACTTGAATGTGTTTGATTAAACAAAACAAATATAGGTCTTTTTGCATAATATATCATTATTATTTACCGAAGATTATGAATTGTGTTAAGTTGTTGTTTATGACAATTCAAAGGTCATCAAGCTTGTTGATTTAGCTTTTTATATACATGAAGCTATTTTAAAGTTTGCTATACGAGAGCTGTTTTTTACACATGTCTTAAAATATGAGTAATGTAACATCTCTCTACTATATATGTGAAGTTATAGCATCATTTACGAGTCCGACACTTGAGAGAATATCTTTCTTTATTAAAATAATATTATAAATGTAATAATACGTAACAGTGAATAATATTATAATTATCAACTTCATCGTCATCAATATCATCATCTTTATCATCATCATCATCATCATCATCATCATCATCATCGTCATCGTCATCATCATTTTGAATGTTTTACTTCCACTGACTGTTACGGTCGGATATTGTACCTTCCCAGACTTACTGTGTAGGAACATATGAGATCTGATAACCTAACTGCAGGCTTTTAGAGAATACTTCCGCACTTTTAATTTTCTTCACAGCTAGACAGAAAATAGTCCGTGCTACTCGCAAAATATTAAACAAAATATAAGAACATACTTTAAGGACGGCAAACAGCGATACGTTAGGCGTCGTTCAGTGACTTTTTGTATCTGTGTAATAAAGGTCGAAAGCTAGGCGGACTGAAATTGGCTATTTTTAATTTTTATGAATAAAATATTTATATGTAAATGCTGGGAACGCTAAGAACATTAGAAGAAGCTGGTGTTGCATTTTACAATACAAATGTACTTTCTTCTTGTCAGGTCTAGTAGAACGCGCAGCTGAACTTTGTACTGATTTTAGTATTATATTTTGTCCCATTCCTTCTAGACGAACTTGTCTTCTTTTTGAATAGAAAAGAGTATCGAGTTTCAGACTCACGCTTGCAAGTACTCTACTGAAATTTAAGAAGAAACGAAAATTCCCATAAGTCATGGTCAGTTCTTGTCAAAGGTTTCTGTATATGTTAAAATGAGCGTGCCATGACAAAACCAACATAATGGGTTTGCGTCCAGCATGGATACAGACCAGCCTGCGCATCCGCGCAGTCTGATCAGGATCCATGCTGTTCGCTTATAAACCCTATTACAAGTACCGAAACTGATAGCGAACAGCATGTATCCTGACCAGACTGCGCGGATGCGCAGGCTGGTCCGGATCCATGCTGGTCGCAAACCTATTATGTTGGTTTTGTCATGGTGCGGCTCAAATATGTACGAGAGACCGGTGGGGACATTTCAACTTCATTATTTCCCAAATTCATGTTCGTGAACTTATTGATGAAGTTGAATTCGTGAAGTTGAAATCGTGAATTCATGAAGTTAAAATCGTGTATTCATGAAGTTGAAATCGTGAATTCGTGAATTATGTATGTTGAAATCGTAAAGATGAATCCAAGAATTCAAGAAGATAAAATTTCACCACCGGTATTTTGTATATATACTATGATATTCATGTAGAATTTCGATCGCCTTATTATTGTCATTTTCATTTTTAACTCAAATCATTTTTGATGAAGAGAATGTATAGCGCATTTTCTACCTTTTGGCTTAAAGATATGTTTCTTGATAATTATTTATTTTATAACTTGTTTTTATGGTAGATAAACACGATTTCATATTGAATAACTACCAGCTATAGTTTTCAAGTAATAAAATTTACATTAGACATTAAATTAAGTTAATA